GGGCGGGCGGGCGGGCGGGCGGGCGCCGAGCCGCAGCTCCCGGCGCGGACGCGGAGCTCCGAGGTCTGGGCTGAGGAGGAGGGTCAGGTGGCGAGAGCAGGGTTTTCTTTCTTTAATTCTCCTCTTGTTCCAAAGCGGCTTGTTTCCTGCTTCTCCCCAGACGGGGATGGACGACGGCTTTGGGGGGGACCGAGAGGTGGTGTTTGGTGGCGGTTGTTCACTTGTGGGGCCTTGTGAGGGGTTTTGTTATTTTTTTCCCCCGTCCATCGGTGAACTTTTCCCACCGCCTCCTTGCTTCGTTTTTGCCCCTCTTTGCCTGGTGCTAAATGGGCTGCTCTTCTTCGACCACCGTCAGCCTCACGGTTTGCTCTTCCTTTTTCTTTTAAAACTGTATTTTCTTTGTGCTGCAAACAGTGTTAATATCCATTGAGCACTCTTCCCTCCCCCCTGCACACACAGGGAACCCGGGGGCCGCTTCGCGGGGCTCAGTGTTGCATTGGGAAAGAGGTTTCTTTTTTCTTTCCTTTTTTTTTTTTTTAAAGTCAGTCCCTCCGTCTCTCTCCCCTTTTTGGGGTGTGTGTGTGTGTGTGTGTGTGTGTGTGCGTGCGCGCGCTTGTGATTTAAACCGGATGCAGGGCATCTGTGCTACTTGGGTTAGTAGTTATTGACAGTGCTTTATCCTTCTTGTGCAGATGGGAGGGGAGGTAGCGAAGGTCCTTTTCACTTTGATGAACCTCCCCCCCATAGCGGAGTATTAATAATTTTCATTGTGATTATGAGACTTGGTGTGTGATGAACAGGGAAAGGACACACGAAGCTTTGTGAGGAGTCAGTGCAGTGTTATTTGTGACAGTTACGGTACTTCAAGACTTTTTTTTCCTCCTCATCTCTGTTCATTTCCCTTTGAGAGTTGAAATTGAAGTCAAGTTGTTCATAAAGAATGCATGAGGCTTCTCAACTTGAAACGTGTGTATATTTCACTTTCTTTGTGGTTAAGATGTAGACGTGTGTACTTAACATATTCTTTTTATTTACTTTTTGGTTTTCTTTGGAAAGTGGCTTAAACCTGCTCAGAAGAGAGCTTCCTCTTTACCGTTCCTTTAATATTTTTCTGTGTAGTTTTGAATACCTGTTAGTTCTCAAGTACTAGGGTTCTTCATGATCCCTCAGTTTGGATCATTGTCTGCCTTAACTTTTAATCACTAGGTTATCTATAAAGAGTTTTGATAATGAATGTGTACTAAAACAAATAGAATGTATCATTATAGTTGCACATGTTGAAGTTTCCAAATTAGATTTTAAAAATACTTAGTCTTTTCTTTCTAACAGCAAACATATTGATTTAATTGACAGAAAAGCCTGTGAATAATGTGACAGTATTAATTATTCTTGAGATTTCCAATGAGCAGGTTGGGTAATTATAATGCTATTAAGGCTAATATTTTGTAAAGAGTTTAGTGTTTAAAAAAAACTTTCCTTGCAGTTCATTTCTTGTGATTGCTATTTTAAATGAAGATGATATTTTGTTCTTAAGGAAGTCTTTCTCAAAACTTAGATTTCTTTATAATTATTCACCCCTCTGCAACCTGCATTTCATGCAAATCTCTAATACTAACTTGTATTTTTTCCCCCTTGTTCAGATGAGTGTCAAATGCCTGAACACTTTCGGATGGTGAAGCTCCAGAGTCCTAAACACTCTCTGTAGTTAATAGGAGTTTTGCTGTCGTGGGACAGTTTTAGATCTTATGCCACTTATGTAACTTTTCAGTCAAATAGGTTACATACACTAATATGCTATGGTTTAACCTGTGTATTTGCAGTGCCCAAGAACTTTTTGAGGCATTTCACTCTCTACCTACCTACCTACCTACCTTGGATTTTCTAAAATTTTCATTTTTGTTCACAATTTGATTCGAGAACAGAACTTGAATTGTTATCCATGCTTAAAAGTGTTTATGTGGCGTGAAAATTGTTGTTAGATATACTTTGGGTTCAGGTAGATTGAAATTATTCATATGGATTAATAACCAGAAATACAGATAATATTTACAATTAAATACGATAAATACTTAGCATTTAGTTCATTCTTTCTGTAATATTTTTCTTAGGAAAAACTATTCTGTATTGATATTCTTCTTTTTCAATTTTAGACTAATAGAAATCCGTGAAAGTGATTTTGCTTTGAAACTAAAACTGTTCAATAGTAACTTACTTTGAGTAGCTGAGTGGCAGTGATGCAGTGTGTTACAATGCCTGTTTCAGACTTTTGGAATTGTTTTGACTATGAATTATATTGAACAGTATAGGGTATAGGTATAGGATATATAGCACGTTTACACACACACACACACACACAGTAAACTAATGCATTCTTTGAAATTTTATAATCATTTCACAATTTTTTTTTCATTACATGGAAGTAGTGATGCCTAATTTCTAAAATACAGCATTATTCTTCCACTATTCAAATAGTCTTATATCCCATTTAGGTACTCAAATTAAAAAAGGTTTATTGTTATAAGGTTAATATACTTGAAACTTAAACAGTTCTTTTAATTTTGAACAAATTTATTGAAGTACTAATTCAAATGAATGAATCTTAACTCAAATGGATTCCTTGCATTGTTTGAGGATGTTACTTCCATGTAGCATTTTTCGTTGAGTCAATGTGTGTTGTGTGTACATTTTTCCTTCTTCCAACTTAAATCAGTCGGTGAACTGTAATCATTTTGCTTTTCAAAATTGAAATGTTTGTGTATATTTAAAAGATGAATATGGTGTCAGAGGTGTAAGAAGAGTTAGAGTTTTTTCCTAACAGTCTAACAGAAATGTTACTTTCTTGATGTCTTTCGAGAGAATGTGTTACAAGAAATGAGGATCTCAAATAAGTACACTTCATTACGAAGAGTCTTGTTTATTTTGTTTATGTGCTGTGCACTGACTAAATATCCATTATTTGCTCTCAGTTTCTTTCAAAATTATTTTTCTGACCAAATTGCTTGTCTGTGTTAACACTTTAGCATGTGTTCCTGGGACCATTGCAAAATGGGTTTAAATGCCATTCTGTTCACAGGTGCATAGTGTTCCCATATTTTGGAAATCCTAGACTAAATGGATTTGACTAAATCTAGCTTGTTAGAGACAGATGGCTGCTTTAAACAGGTGTCACTTTCATTTTTACTGCTTTGTGTTGGGACTATTAGAGGTTCACAGAAGGGCTGTGTAAAGCAGGTGGCATCCTTTGCTTTTGTCCTTAGTAAGATCTTCTAGAGTTAATTATTTTCTTAGGAAGGGGTTTTATTTTTTAACTAAAGGTTTTGAACAATTAATCTTTAAACTACTCTGCATGTGTCATTTAACCAACATAGCTTTTATTTCTGAATGTCATTGTATTTTCAAGGTAGAACTTAGAGATCACTTCAGAAACTCTTAATTCTTACAAAAGATGGTAAATTCTCTTTGAATCCAGAAAAAAATATTTAGCAGCAGTTTACACACTTTTGAGTCAAATTGATCTGAAGTAAAAAAAACCAGGGCAGATTTGAATAAAGTGGAATTTGGCTAACGTGACAAACTCTTCCATCCTTTACTTAAAGAATTTCTTTGGCAGCTCTATTTCAACCTGAGTTATATATTGGAAACTTTATTTTTTGTTGGTTCAGTATTTTAAAATTAACCATTTTCCTGACCTACCTCAGTTGTTGCTATAACATTAATAGTGAACTTTTAAAATTTATTTTTAAGCATTTAGTGTTCAGAAATATGCACCAGAGTAAATAAAAGTATATAAATCTATTGATTTCAAAGATTTATTTTTGCTTCCTGATTCTATGTGGGGATTTTATACATCTTATAATAGATGCACCAGAGGGTGCTGTGCTGTTTTCATGAAATTATTATCACTGAAAATGTGAACTGATTATATGTTATTTAAAGAAAATTTTAATTATTTATGCATTCAAGCATATAATAACCTTATTTCTATGGAATTTAAGTTTAATATATTGTCTTATTGGCAGTTTTATATTAAGTCCTATCCCTGTATGTGGGTATTATATATTAGCAAAACATAAACAACACCAAGATTTGTATCTCTGATATAGTCTGAATGTCAGCATTAGTTTTATAGGCAAATACATTGATTATCTTATGCAGATATTTCAACGTATGTAAAAATTTTAGATTAACTTGAAAATCATACTGTTGGAAGTGTGGGTTTCTGTTCTTGAATATCATATCGTTGACACATGCTCATACTTTGTACTTCTAACTTTATATAGCATAATTTAGTGATACTTTTATAGTATAATCTTAAAAAAACCCACATCTGAAAGGCGTAAATGCTTATTGTAGTTATTAGGCTGATTAATCAGCAATAATAAGATAATGTAAATTTTTTTTCTAGATAATTTAGTTCCTGCTCTCTGCTCTTACTGTAGTCTGGTTTGGTTTTTAATTTCAGTTTGTTATTAGAAAAGTTTTAGAGTCTGTGCTTCATGTTGTGCCATGTACTTCATGAGTGGCTATCTCTATCCCAATATTGTTCAGCAAAAGATGTTTTAAAACTGTTGAGTCCGGTTGTTGGTGCTTCTTCTTATATCCTTGACCCTCTTTTAACTATATGTCTTCTAAAAGCTGAATAC